TCGTAATAACCTTATTACTATACATCTTTTCCTACCATGGATACATCATGGGAATGTCAAAATCTAAAATGTTTAGAACAGAATCAGCGAACTTCTTTGTATGGAGTCCGGTCAAACCCTGGTGGCAGCCATGTTTGTTTTTATTATTAGAGGACGCTTACGCGTGTAATTGTTCCATATTTGGAATACGCATTCCCTTATATGGTAGGATGAAAATAACCCGTAAAATACAGCAAAATTACGGCACGCTGTAACCTATGGTGTTATGGTGACAGATGTATAATGACGGATCTTATGGAACATACTAAGAAGCCCTTGTAATGCATGCACAAACTACTATTCTCATGTAGTGTTGACATTCAAAATATGTGAAAGGATTATATGGTATAAAAAAATAAAAACAAGAACACTAAGTTGTCTATTACACCCATCTACATGATTTTTACATAACATTGTCTTTTTCATTCCAGTAACACCAAGTCGTGATCATGTATTTCATATTACGTTTCCCAAAGAGTGGAAAGCCAGTGACCTGTATCAACTGTTCTCACCATTTGGGTCTATTTATATTGCATGGATTGACGACTCATCAGCGTTCATTTCACTCTACAAGAGAGATCAAGCAGATATAGGTCAGTAGGTCATGGATCATATATTTATTTTTTCCGCCCTTGCATTATTGTGATTTGATAATAGTCTTTTTTAATTAGCAATGATATTTTTGAAGATGACTACAGCTCACTGGTAGCCTAGTGGTTGTCGCATCAGACTCATGGCCGGTAGACCAAGTTCAAATCCTACCTTAGGTTGAACATCAAAAGGGTCGACCCCTACCCTGGGTGAGTGTGCAACAGACTCAATGGGAAAGTCTATTCCACTGGCCGTGAATCAATCACTCATGAATGCGACTTTGGGGGAACCTTGGTTAAGGTCTGCAGGTGCTTTTGTTCGACCGAGCCTGGTTGACGCCAGGATAGCGCATTAAAATTGCCATTTGATAGAGAGATGGCCACACAGCCCTGTCATGTAGTCCCAAACATGAATATGACTTCTGTGGCAAAAATGCACTATGTGTCAGCACTAGCACTTGCAATTGCACATACAAAAAAAAAAGTCAGGAGAGACAACAGTGACCTTTAATGTCCGGAACTGTCGCCTGGCACACAAAAAAAAAAGATGACCACAGAGCTACATGGTAATGTGAAGGTAGTTTATTTTTTTTGTACCTGTGAGTTTTTCACTGTTCATGTGTAGACATTAAATATACCTCTGAGAAACCTGACAGCAAGCTGTGCAATAATTTTCCCTTATCATACCTGTAGACACCTAGATGTGATGTCACACTGTGGTGATATGCATTTCATAAATTCCATATCACCACATGTGTGTGATATGGTACCTGACTACTTTCAGAGTTCATAGTCGGATTTGCAGCTAATCAAGTTGGTAATGTTTTGAAACATGTACAAAATGTTGGGTACACAACTAAAAATACATGTACTGGGTAAAACTACTGAGATATATTTACAATGTTGTATTGTTTTAGGTATTTAAAGTATGCACAAAATGTCCATCTCTTTCCTCACCTCATGCTGCCAGTTGGCCTAAACCATTTCCTTGGTATAGTTCATGGGATTTCATCATCTAAAATAATGACAACTTTAAATTAACCAGGAATACATAATGGTGTGATATTAGAATTAATAATTTTATTAAACCTTAATCACCTAAATCATTTTACATACAAAGCAGTCAGACAATGCAGTACACAGTCGGTGGCAGTGTTAGCACACAGAACTGCGATAAATTTGAAATACTTACTTGAAATATTTTACACATTAAATTAATGTTTCTTAACGTCACTTCATTTTCCCAGTAATGAAGGCTTTAAAGCAAGGCGACTATTACTTTATTCAGCCGTATAAAGATTATAAGATCTTTCAAAATACTGGAACACCACCGGCTGCTGCCATATCAAGTGCACCGGACAAGACACCGAGTAGAAAACGTCCCCACATTGAAGTGGATATACACTATCCATCAGAGGAAGATGCTAAACGAGCCAAAATATTGGATGCCAGGTATGTCTACATCTAATCATCTACCCCTATCCCTACTAATGTCATTGCAAACTGAGATGTAATATTCACATGATCAAATATGCCATGTGATATTCACATAGTCAAATATGCCATGTAATATTCACATATTCAAATATGCCATGTAATATTCACATGATCAAATATGCCATGTGATATTCACAGTCAAATTTGCCATGTAATATTCACATGGTCAAATATGCCATGTAATATTCACATGATCAAATTTGCCATGTAATATTCACATAGTCAAATATGCCATGTAATATTCACATATTCAAATATGCCATGTAATATTCACATAGTCAAATATGCCATGTAATATTCACATAGTCAAATATGCCATGTAATATTCACATGATCAAATATGTCATGTAATATTCACAGTCAAATATGTCATGTAATATTCACAG